TTGAAAAAAAGGTTCAAGTAGACCACAAACAGAAGTAAGAAAATAGGACAAAAAGATCCTGGAATTCCAGACGTAGGGGGATAAATTCAAGTTTGAGGCCAGACTGAGCTACACAGTGAGTTCTGGGCCAATCAGGGATACATGGTGAGACATTGTCTGAAAAAAAAAAAAGAGTAATCGCCAAACAAAAATTAAATAATAAAATGGACTCTATGTCTTAACCTATTGTTACTTTGTCTCTCTTTTGTCTTATTTATTTTATTTTTATTTGTAAGAGTCCTTTGCCTGAATGTGTGTAAGGGCACCATGTATGTGCAAATGCCCACTGAGGCCAGAAGGTGTTAGATCTTTTGTCACTGGAGTTACAGGCAGTCGTTGACCACAATGTTGGTGTTGGGAACTGAGCCTGGGTCTGCTGCAAGGCAGCCAGTGCTATTAACTGCTGAGCTTTCTCTCCAGCCCCAGTTCTCTTTTTCTTTTATTTTTGTTATATGTATATGTATATGGTAAATGTACAAGTTCAAGTCAGAGGTTCATGCCAGGTGTCTTCTTCAATTTTTTTCCACTTTCTAAAAATACATCATTCTGGGTCTGGAGAGATGGCTCAGGGTTAAGAGAATGGGCTGCTCTTTCAGAAGGCCCAGGTTTGAATCCCAACACCCACATGTGGACTAACAACTATCTGTAACTCCAGTTCCAGGGGATCCAACGTCCTCTTCTGACCTCCATGGGCATTGTCTGACATGGGTACACATACATGCATGCAGACAATACACTCATACACACAAAATAAAATAAAAATAATAAAATATTAAAAATAAAAATATATAATTCTTTGACAATTTCATACATTTATAAACTCTATTTTGTCTACATTCACCCCATATGCTGGTTTATCCTCTTCCCACTCTTGTTGGACCATTTCTTCCCAACAAGTCCCTCTTCTATTTTCTTCTGTTATTTTGAGACAGGGTCTCACTTTGTAGCCCTGGCTGGCATGGAACTTGCTATGTTGATCAGGGCGGTCTCAGACTCACAGAGAGATTCTCCCAGCTCTGCCTCCCAAGTGCAAGGATTAAAGGTTTATGCCATCGTGCCTGCTCCCCTTCTATTTTCATGTATTGCTTTTCTTGTGATCCTCTATATTTAACTGGGGTTTCCTCCATGACCATGAGTTGCGTTTTTTTTTTTTTTTTTAACTGGTGTATGGGCAAGTTGTTAGCGGTTACATCACTGAAGTTGCCACTCCCCCAGCAACCACTAACTGTTAATCACTCTTAAGGAACAGGTAGAACCTCATGAGCCCTTCCTCTATCCATGGCCCCATCTTGTCAGGGATTTTGCAGGAAGTCACAGGTGCTGTGAGTACAGAAGACTGTATTTCATAGAACCTTATTTTTTGAGACAGAGTCCCTCACTAAACCTACAGTTTTCATTTGGTTAGCCCTGCTGGCCAGTGACCTTTGAAGATCCAACAGTCTCCAACCCACCAGTTCTGTGGTTACTGATATACAGCTATACATGTCTTTTAAGTGGATGTTTGGGATTTTAACTCAATAAGTCATTTCCTCAGCTCTATCTATCTATCTATCTATCTATCTATCTATCTATCTATCTATCTATCTATCTATCATCTATCTATATTTATCATCTATCATCTATCT